TTGAAGATAAGCAGGCCAGGAGAGAAACTTGGCATCACGCTCACGTCGGCAAGACGAGTGCTGCCTTCCAGACCCTCCTTCCTGACAGACCAGAACCGACAAGGTGAAGGATCAGGACCAAATCCCCATGGCCAAACCGGCATGACAAGAGTGGGGATGGGAATATTGATGTCTGGGGGTTCGGTCAGTCCTGTGCTAGAGCTAGACACTGGCACAAGGGGGAAAAATGGGCAGGGGGACCTGAAATAACAGGCCTTCTGCTGCTTCTACAGCTCATTGCATCCAGCATTAGCTCGAGCTCCTCTTGTCGAGTCACCCAAGCTGGGATCCTTTCCTAAAACCATTTTTCAAGAAAAAATCCTCCTCAAACCTCACCCCAGGGACTCTATTCCTAGCGTTCCTGAGCCCTGAGGGCTGCACAGAGGAAAGAGGATCCAAACAACCTGCTGGTGAAACCACCAGTGAGGATCTCCTGGTCTCTCACTTACGAAATTCTTGGTTCCTGCTGGGGATGTTTCCATTAGACTTTCAGCTTTGAACATCCTACCTCTCCCTGACCAAAATGGAAGAAAACAGCCCCTGGGTTTGGATGAGGTTCAGAGTTGTGTTTGGGAAGGAGCTTGTGGTCAAGCTGGTGGTAAGCACGGGTCTCCGAAAAGGCAACATCTGGATAATCCATAGTGCCCCGCTCAAGTAGATTTGCAGATGGTGCTCCTTGACAAAAATAAGAAGAACCCCGTGTCCTCTCCAGAAGCCTGAAGGAGGAGGTAGCAAGGATTTCAGCTGGTTTCCATCCGCTGTTAACTCCTTGGAGCACTCACCAAGGTCTAAATACAGCTTTTAATGTAAGAAAAATCAAAACTGGGCCTGAATAAAGTCTGCAGATAAGTGGAACACGATCTGGGCTGCAGCAAGGGAAGGGGAGGCACTCCGGTGTCACCAGAGCAGGGTTTTAAGATTTGGGCTCACTGGTTTTATCCTCCCTGGACATCTTCAGCATCTGTTAGTTTTAATAGCATGTTACCTTTGTGATTCATTTTGCAGAAGGGAGGAGAGATGGCCAAGAATCCAAGACTTAGGCCCTTAAAGATGGTGCTGGAGCCATAATATCTTGGGGGCTTCGATTTTGGAAATGTGGGAGAGAGGAGGGTGTTTGATGTTTGGGTCAATGCAATGTGCAGGCCCAGCAGGTGAAGGGAGTCTGTCACTGTCACAGCCTGTGACAGCAGCAGGGTGGTGACAAGCTCTTCCAGCAGTCACCAAAATGCTGGACTTGGTCAGATTCTGCAGTCTGAGTCTGCATCTGAGCTGCAAAACCTCTGTGGTAATTCCTCCAAATCTGTCACCTTCATCCCCTAGCTCTGAGTTGGCTGATTTGGGGTTTACATGGCCAAACCAGACATATGTGATTTTTGCTTCAAGAGAAAAGGCAACTTTTATTCCCTTTTTTTTTGGCTTGCAGAGGTTTGCTTTTCCCATGGCCTGGCCTCGTTGTGCTGTAGCCCAACCTACTGCTGCAGTGCACAGGTCTGGCATTTTCCCTATATATTCCCCACATGTTTCCCTGGCTTTCCACAAGCGGATCCTGCCAGTCCCATGGGACGATTCTGGGGCAAAGCTGAGAATGGATGGAGGGAGTAAAAAATGGAGAGGATAAAAGGGAAAGGAGAGTGACTGGTACCCATATGAAACAAGGGCAACATTGTTCAATTCCATGCATTAGTCACAGGGAAAACATTGGGTTTCCTAATTTCTTCCAGCTCAGGAAAATTATCCACTTGGGGCTCTGGCAGTGCTGCAAGCGCTGGAGGAGGCAGCAGTGCCTGGTGTCCCGCGGGAGCTGGAGCAGCTCCGGGATGCCTGTCCGGACACAGCGGGGTCACTTTGTGGCCAGCAGAGATGCTCACGTGGCTGAGCTGGTGCCAGGGGGTTATCCCAGGGACACGTTTTACCCTCCATGCTAGGCGAGGACATTTCTGGAGGGTGATGGGATGACCCAGATTAGCTGTGGGAGCCCTGGGATAGAAAACGGGTGCGAGCGGCGACACTCATTAACTTCCCACTTGGCAGCCCCGACGGAGCGGCCAGGGCTGGCTGAGCATGGGAATGTCCCCGCGTCCCCAGGGTGGCACGTTGGCTTGTCCTGCTGCTGCCTGCTTCAGGGGACAGAGCGAGGGATAGAGCATCTGTTCGGATGGGGAAGCAGAGGTGGATGAAGCGACTGCTTTTTGGCACTGCTGTCCCAGCTGTGCCCATCACCCGTCCTTGGGGCATGGGCCATGCTCGGGGGCTGTGCTGGCCTCACAGCTGCCCCGTGTTTGGTGCATTAGTGCCTGGAAAGCACCTGGAGATCCTCATCCTCTGCAAGGATGTGGGATGGAGCTGGTGACTGTGGGACGGGGCAAAGCTGCAGGGCCAGGGTAGAGCCAAGAGCATGCAGGAGCATCCTTCCCGAAGCCAGCGTGTTTTCCCTATGGATGCATTGGGTCATTATAAGCAGAAGGAGCTCCTCCGCAGCAGCTCATCCCCTGGAAGGGCTTGAGGACTGCAAACTTCGTGCCTGGATGGCGAGCGTGGGGACGGAGGCCGCGCCGGGGCTGAGCTCACCGCTCGCCCGGGGAAATGACCTCATGGGCGCCGGTATTTGCTCGCAGGAACGCGCCGTGGCCCTGACTAGACTTTCTGTTCCGAGGCCAGCATGAGACAAGAATTTCCTTGGATGAGCTGCCCCTGAGGCAATCTGGGCCTGGAAAAGGGAAGGAAAAAAAAATGAAAAAAGGCAAACTCCTCGTACAGTTAATCCATCACTTTGTATCCCTTCGGAGGCAGCCGACGGGAACAGACCACCCAAAACTGCAGCAGGGAAGGGAAAAGCTCAGTGTGGGGTTGTCTCTACTTGCTCTTCTCCCTCTGTCCTGTCCCTTTGGGGCCAGTTTAGAGCTCTCAAAACCAGTGGCTTTGCTGGGAGGTTAAAACAACCGCTTTTCCCCCCGAATGAAGGTGAGTACAGCACTCGAGCAGAAGCAGCAGCAGCTCCTGGCACAGGCATCCTCTGGCCATCGCTGGTCTCCAGCTCTACCAGTCCCCAGCTCCAATGTCCAGTGATATTGCTGGCACTTTCATTTAAGGTCATCACGGGACAAAACTGCCACCGGATCGTCACCGTAGCCGCTTTATGGTTTCCATAGCCTCGTGACCCAAGCCCTGATTGCTAAACCAGGCTGGGAATAGCTGGAGCTCCAGCCGGAGCAGCCCTCATCCCTGCTGACCTTTGAGCAGATGAAAGGAGAGAGGGAGGGAAGAAAAGGCAGCCGGGGGGGTGGGCCACCATGCACACGCTGGAGAAAAATATTCCCTGCAAGAGGGGACCGCCCCCTGCGGACGAGCCGTCGTGCAGCGCGCGGCGCGTCCGTCTCCGCGTGACGCGGTGCTGAAAACCTCCCCCGGGAGCGGGAGCGGAGGCGGCCGGGGGCCGGGAGCCAGCCCTGCGCTTCCCGAGGAGAATCCCGGCCCGTCTGGTGGCGTGCCGGCGGGAAGGGGAGGCCCTTTCCGGACGCGGAGGCATCCAGCTGGGCGGGCGGGCAGACGGGGAATGCATTCCTGACTCGCTGTTTAATGGGGTTAGCGCAGGTGCAAAGAGCTTCACGGAAGGGAAAAAATGAAAAAAGGTTGAAAAAGAAAAATAAGACTTGTTTTCCGGGCTTTTCCGAGGCCCTCTGAGTGCTCACTGCCTCTCAAGTTTTGCACAGCTGATGGAGGCTTTGCTCGTGCCTTATTATGTGGAAATAAATACAGAAAGAACCAAAAGGGACTGGAGGAAATGCAGGGAAAAGAAAGAGCTTTCCCAAATGGCAAAACGGCCTCAGTTTCTCTCCATGTTTAATCCCCTATTAGTGAGTTCCCGGGGCAGGCATGTCCCTGTGTCCACCTGGGCGCTCCGAGGACCCAGGCACGTCGCTCGCCCGTGTGCTGGCTGCGCGTCCCGCGGTTGTCTGAGCAACGGAGCCTTGGTCCCCATCCCCAGCGATAATTAACTCATTTCCCCATATTTATAGAAAAGCAACGCGCTCTTGGCAGGTATCCCTGACGGGGCCGCGCTTGGCCCTAACCCCGGAGGCAACATCTTGGACGGCGGCCGTTCCTTGGATTTGTCATTGTCCCCGCTGCCTGCTCATTAAATCTTAAGGCGGGCGGTTCGTTAAGTGGTTGGGAGGAGGGTGCCGGCTCAGTGCGCCGGGGTTTGCTTGCAGCATTCGGGCCGTGCGCTCCTGCGCGCCCCGGTGCAGAGGTGCTGCGGGTAGCGCTGCCAGCGCGAGCTCGAGGCTCGCTCCCTGCCTTTCCCTTGCCTCTTCCCTGCAGAAGAGTAGCAGGAGCTTCCCTGGCAGTGGGAGGAAAAGGAGCCTTCTCCCTCCATGCGTATTCCAGGTACGGTGGCATTGCATGGGGCTGGCGGTGCCCCCGTTCCTCCAAGCGAGGCAGCGATCGCTTTGCTCCTTTTGGCTGCGTTTTCTTTCTGTTGCCTGGTTTTTGGAGGACGTTGGGTGCAGCCGGGTGATGGTTCTCCAGGCTGGGGCACAGAGGGAAGCTCATGGAAATGCACAGGCATCCCTGTCCCAGCCAGGCTGTGGGAAGGAGGGACAGGTCTGATTGCATCTGCTCTTTTATTTCTGCAAAGCAGGGGGAATTCTACATTATATTTTGAGGGTGAAGGTGTTCAAAGCACCTTCAAAGACCTGGCAGTGGTTGGGAAGGCCAAGGGCTCAGAGAACTCATGCTGCAGAGAGTTCAAAATAATGTTACTGCTGCAAGCGATTGCTATTGCTATGGCAAGGTGCAGCCAGGTGGGATAGTGCAGGGACAAGGTGGCCTGGACAGTGGTCAGATCGCTGCCATGAATATTATGCAATATTATATATATATTTAATCATATTCCAGCCTTAAAAATAAAACAAAAAATAGGCTTTCCCTTTTTTTGCCTTTTTTTTAATGCTTTTGCACAGGGAATGCCTGAAGAGCAGCCGCCCGCATCTCCCCTGTGTCCCGCCGTGGGCGATGCCAACGCTTCCGCCTCGAGCTGTCCCCCGCCGTGGCTCGAGCCCACGTTCACGCCGGCCGCCCGGGCCCGCGTCATCGTCACCGCGGTGCTCTTCGTGCTGGCGGCGTGCAGCAACGGCGCCGTGCTGGGCAGCCTCCTGCGGAGGACGAGGACGAGGAGGAAGTCGCGCGTGCGGCCGCTGGTGCTCAGCCTGGCGCTGGCCGACCTGCTGGTGACGGTGGCGGTGATGCCGCTGGACGCCGCGTGGAACGTCACAGTGCAGTGGCGCGCCGGGCGCCTCTCCTGCAAGCTGCTCAACTTCCTCAAGCTCTTCGCCATGTACGCGGCCGCCCTGGTGCTGGTGGTCATCAGCCTGGACCGCCACGCCGCTGTCCTGCACCCCTTGGCCAGCAGCCGCCGGCGCAACCAGTGCCTGCTCCGCGCTGCCTGGGCCACCAGTGTCCTGCTGGCGTCGCCCCAGGTAGGCCTTGGCCAACCCAACCCAACCGCGGCCTTCGCTGGCATCAGAGCAACATGGGGTTCAGTGCCTTGTTGCACCCCTGGGTGTTATGTAAGTGTGGGGAAAACTCTAGGAGCGACCATGTCTAAATTCCTTGTGTGTGGGGTTATCTGCTCCCAGAAATGTGTCTTTGTACTGCTGAAGAATTGGGCTGGATCATGACAAACCAGACCCGTTAATGGCCAAAATAACATGGGCAGAAGGTAAAGAGCGAGGGCCATGTTTGGTGCTTAGCCCAAACCCACTGAGTCCTGAGGGAGATTTGCAGGGGACACCATCTTCTGCCTGCTCGGGTGTAGGCCCTAATTCCCTTCTGCCTCTTAAGAAATGAGTATTCTGAGACAGCAAATAGGACCTTGCAGATGGTCAGTCCCAACCATTCTGGCCAAAGCTGGGAATTACCTTGGGAGGCTCCAGAGCGTGTCTCCCAGACCAACAGCAGAAGGAAAATGTTCAGGAATATTTTGGGGACGTAGTACCTCATTTCGCAGCATCTCTGAGTTGTTGTTTGGTTCTTGATTTCAGCTTTTCCTTTTCCACTTGCAAACCATCCCAGGAGTGAACTTCACCCAGTGTGTCACACACGGCAGTTTCCAAGAGCACTGGGAAGAAACCGTCTACAACATGTTCACCTTCACCACCCTGTACGTCACCCCGTTGAGTGTCATGATCATTTGCTACATCCGAATCATATGGGAGATCAGTAAACAGCTGAAGATCAGCAAAGGTAAGTGGGCCATGGCCAACAACTCTCCAGCATGACTCTATCCATCAATCCTGTTCTATCCTGGAGGGTTGTTGGGTTCATCCCAAATCCCTTTGATTTCAAAGGGGTATTTGGTTGCAGAGATAGCCAGATCTCACTTCTTCAAGGCCAGGCATTATTAAGGAGATGCAAATTCACCTCTGATGGAAAATAGCAAAGATTTTCCTGAGGGGAAGTCTTGTAGAGAAACTCTCCTGCACGAAATTGCATAGCATGGCACAGGGTGGCAGAGGCTACGGCTTGGCTCACCTGTGCCAGGACCTCCAGGTTTGGCCATCATGGATTTTTCAGTTGTGTCGGTTTTCTTCCACTCGTAGTTACCCATTTGCCTCCCTCCTGGCAGGTCTGATAAGAAATAAAAGCGACCACATCTCCAAGGCACGCATGAAGACCCTCAAGATGACCATAGTGATCGTTGCTACCTTCATCATCTGCTGGACTCCTTATTATCTCTTGGGCTTGTGGTACTGGTTCCAGCCAGACATGATCCAAAGGATGCCAGAGTATATCAACCACAGCTTCTTCCTCTTCGGCTTGCTGCACACATGTACAGACCCCATCATTTATGGGCTGTACACCCCATCCTTCCGCGAGGATGTGCAGCTGTGTCTCAGGAGCATTGAAACGGCGCTTACCCGGCAGCAGAGACACAGACCTGTCCCAAGTTCAGAGAAGAATGTCAAGGATGACGGTGTAAATGGTGGGGTGGCATCGGGGGGCTCTAACGGGACCACTGTGCACACGGTGTGCTGAAGGCACACACCTGGAAGGAGTCCTGGGACCCACAGTCAGGGGCTGTTTCATCCCACAGATGCATTTTGGAGACTGTCCCATGGTGGTTTGCCACCTTCCTTTGGTCCGTGTGAGTAAAACTAAAGGGATTTTTCTGCGACCTGCACTCTGTGTGAAAAACACTGATTTTGGAGGCATTTATGTTTGATGATACATAGACAGGGAGCCCTGTGATGACTAGAAAAACGGCCTTTCTATCACCTATATGTGTGCCAGATATCCCTTCACACTAACTCAGGGATCGAGTACCTGCCATGCTTATGAAATCAACCCATGGGAGAAGACCTGCTGGCTGCTCAGCTGTAGGAAACAGGGACACAATTCCCGGGGGCTCGGTCTGCAGGAGCCCTTGGGGCCTGGTCCCAAGTGCAAACACGGGCAGAAGCATCAGGAACTGTGGAACTGGGCCCCGAGATGTGGGCAAATGCATTTACTCCATCCGCTGTTTCTCCATCTGAAATTGCTGCTTCTCTGGCTCTGTGCCTCTCTGGCTCTCCCACAGCCTTATGTGAAGCTTCATGAAGGATTCAAATCTTGGGAGTGACTAATGCAAGGGAGCTTGTTTTGTACTTTCTGTGACCTGTGCACTTGAAACAAATCGTCCTTGGGTTGTTTGCGCACAAGTGCCTCTCAGGTTGCTGTCCTTGGACTCTTGGAGCAGCGTTTGTGTTAGCGAGAGCTATTCTAGGGTCCCAGTTGTTGGGTGGGGTCTGGTTTTCCACCTCAGCAGAGGACAGGAGCGTGTTGAGACATGTTATTTAGCTGCATCCTTTGCTCCACACGTGTGGAGCTTTCTTCATCTCACCCTTCTCCTCTCCGTGGCCTCAAAATCAGAGGGGAGGGTCATTTTCTGCCCGTCTTCTCCCTTCTGCAATGGAAAGGAGAAGATGCTGGGCAGGTGGAGAGGTTTAGGCAAAAGGAGGTACCAAGAACTGCCATCAGGTGGGACTTCTCCTCCCTTTTGGAGGCTGCCAGAAGGGCAAACAGTGCTGGCTGCCCTATTCTGGCATGCAGGGGGTTAGACAGACACATCCTCCCTAGCTGCTCCCTAGAGCACATGGATCAACTGAGGGAGGCATTTGGAATATCAGGAGGGTGAGAACAAGACCGCAATGCCAGTCTGTCCCCCTCACCTGCCTCTGTCCCAAGGCATGAGTTTGGCAGGTCTCAGACCATACCCAGGCTGGCTGGTAGTTCAGAAATTACATTTTCTTCTCTGTGTTTTCCCCTCTCATGTTTATACAGAGGTGCTTAGCTCTAACTGCTCAACCTGATGCCAGAAAGCACAGGGGCCTCAACTACCCCAGCTTACTTCTGCCCAAAACAGGGCACCTGTGACCATTTCTGCAAGCTGGGGGGAATTTCCCAGCAAATAACCTGATGGGAAACACCTGCAGGGTAGAGGATCGCCTCCACTATAAATCAGTAGTATGGGGAGCCAGCTGGGTGCTGCTGGCTGCAGAGCATAGGACAGGGATGCTGCTGGTAGGGCAGCAGAACCTGGAGTCCTGCATAGGGTCAGAATGAGAGAGGGAGCTGGGATAGACCAGCTGAGGGGTAAGTAAAGTGGTTGTTTCACTCTTTGCCAATATTTGTGTTCTTTGGGGAAAGTTGTTTCTGTATGGCTGTGAAGGATGATGCCTTTTCCAAGGATAAAGGTTGAAAAATAGGATTTGACTGTGCTGTTGTCTACTAGGCAAAGAGAAATGGCTGGTCTTCTGTTTGTTCACTCTGTGTGCTAGTTGTTGTTAAATGTGTTGTGGGGCTAAATTTAGTTTTGAATTTGGTGGATTTTATTCTTTTCCTTTCTTTAGAAGCGATGAAATCTTTGGGCAGTACAGGAGCTCTTTGACCCCAGCGCTTGGCAGGAGGCAATTCTCTGGGTATTTCTGTGACAACTGAAGCTCTTAATGAGCTTTTGGACTCTATAATGATGGGAGATTTTGTTTTTAAAGCCATTTCTGGCTTGCTCCGAGTGAGTGCCTAGGGAAGCTGGAAGGTGTCTATGCATGGACCGTCACTAAATCATCAAATATCCTTTGGGCACGGGGGGGACCCTGGGTTGAGAAGGACCCTCCTGCAAAGGCTCTAGCAGTTCAGATGAGGGTGTTGCTGCCCTGAGGGACAAGGTTTTGCTGAACTGGGTGAAATCCAGGGGTCTTGTCCAAGCTTGCATCTAGCCTTCCTCTCTAGAAAGGTGTTTTCCAGGAGTGTGCCGTGTCCTGGCAGCTGGATCTTTGCTGGAATGCTGCTGCAGGCTTGGCCTTTGCATTGGTGCCTCCCCATGTTCTCCTTCCCCAGCAGCAATGAACAAGAGGGATTTAAGCCAGAGAGGTGACAAGTGGTGTTTGTGGATCTGCTGGGCTTGCTCTACTGAAGATTAATTATGCGATGCTAATGGGGAGCTGAGCTTGCTGCTTTGGCAACATCTCAGCTTGACCTGTGCACATAGGAGCACCCTCTGCAGTGAGGGGAGTGATTTGTGGTGCAGGAGAATATTCATCAGTCTCACCTTTGATCTCATGGTTGAAATAGCTGGAGGTATCTAAGGGGATATCCTTAAAGTGTACGAAGAGCCTCAAATAGCCAGGAAAGTGTCTGTAATCTCACAATACTCTTCATCAGCTTCCTGCTGTGTGGGAGAGAACAGCCCTGTGCTTTTCATGCACTTAGGACCCCATGTCCCTTCTTGTCCAGCTGCAGGAGAGCTCTCAGACCTCCTCCATGGAGCAAGAAGCACTTTATCCCATGTGGGAAGGACTTGCAGCCTTTGCATCCCATAGGTGTCTTGAGAGGTTGCGACTCGAGAGGGATGAGATGAAGCAGGGAATGAGGAAAGTGTGACCAGGGAAGAGCTGATCCTGAAGCCCTGTTGGAGCTGCTTCGTGGTCACCCAGCAGCTAATGGGTTTCTGCTGGAGGTGGAACGAAGCCCAGGCCTCGTTTGAAGGTTACACCTGTGCTGGCTGGACTTGCTTTCCCTGGATGCAAAGTTGTGCCTGTGTTTCCAGTTGTGTGTTCCTGAAACCCGTCTGTCCTTTCCAGAGCAAGACACTTCTGTGCTGCTTATGGTGAATGTGAAACTTGGCTCCTTGGGCTTCCTAGGCTGGGATGCAGTTCCCTCCTCCCGCCTCAAACTATTGCCCCCAGCACCTGCCCTCCACCTCTGGTGGCTAAGACCTTTTTTACTCCTATATGGCCTATTTCCTCCCATCATAGAAATCTTCCACTTCCCCAGAATGCCTCCATTCCCCCATCATGAAACACCAGCTACCCCTCTTGCATTTGTTATATGATCAAATTGTCTAATTTACTTTTTATCTTAATATCTCCCATGCCACTGCTCTGAGCACACAGTAACAAGCGCAGGTAGCTCTGTGTTTCAGAGCTTCGTGCTCTAACCATGGGCTGCCTCTTCCAGACACACTAATCCTTTGCTCAGGAAGAAGCTTGGAATCGCTTCCCGTTAGCATTTTTATAGCACTGCACATGCTCAAAGGGCTGTGCAAGCGGCGTAAGAGGCTAATATGAACCTTAGGTTAATTCATAATATTGTTGGTTACTCAGCACAACACTCGAATTCTTCCAGCTGACTGCCCTGTGCTGCACTGGGAAACATGCTAAAAGCAACAGGGAGCACCGAAAACAAGCCCAATCTTGTAAATTAAGCATTTTGCCGGTCCATTATGGAACCTGAGCACTGTAAATGCATTTATTCTCCTATTAGTGAGGAGGGCAGTGTTACCTTTGCTCTGCTAAAGCACTGAGGAGCTTGTGTCCAGCTGCAATGCGATGACTCCAAGGGGCTCCTGAGAAATGGGTGTCGGGATATCAAGCCCTGGGTGCCCACCTGCATGTCCCTTTTTCTTGTGGGTCTATCCGGTGACTTTTTCCATAGATCCTTCCCCCAGGATCTCGTGATGTAGCTGCAGCACTGGCCTATGCAGTTTGGCCCAGAACATCCTTTTCTTTGAGAAAATAGCCTAGAGCAACTAATACAGATCCCTCTGGGACTGGCTCCCTGCATAGATGTTTTTATCTCGCCCTTTCTGAGTTAAATTGCAAAGTTTAAGGCTGCACAAAGCCCCATACAGATGTCAGGAGTTAGCACTGAACAGCCACGGTGTGTTAATTCCCCTGCTTATTGTGCAGGACTCCCATGCACAGAAACCCTAAGCAACACGGGCTCGAAACCCAGCTCTGCTTCTCCCATCTGCTCCTTGGTTTGTCCCGCTGGCTCCCAGGCTTGTGCCTTTCCTCGCAGTGAAACAACTGCCCATTGAACCACTATGGCCTGACCTCCTCCTTTTCCAGCAGGCTCCAAGGATCCCATCTGTTCCAGAAGATGCTTCATTTGCAGACACACACTGAGCCTTTTAACACCACCCTCCCCTTTAGGCAGGATTAAACGCTTCTATGTTGCCCGTCTGGCACATTAGCCATCCTAAACTGGCATGTATAAATACAGGGCACACCAATAATGAGCACTGAGGAGGACCAGAAATGGCCAAGTATGTTCAGGAATAGCCTGTAGGCTTCAAACCCCAAGTTTCTGCACAGGAATATCAAGGAGTAAACCACCATAAAGTAGTTAAAGCCATCATGGGATATTTATGTATATTTTAATTTCAAATCAATGCTAGTATTAGTGCGCACATTTCTGGGGCTCGGAAACGCATTGTGCTCTAACACTGAGTGGTATTAATGGACTGTAAAAGGCAATGGGGAATTGGATTATAATGTTCTTGTTTTGCAAGCTGTATGGTGAATAAATAAATTTGTTCTGGCAGCAAAATTAACTGGAATAAATGCTTCTAGCTGCATCCACCAACAAGAGGGGTTGCTGTAAATGAACCAATTCTTAGGCTTGAGTTAGAAAACCTGATTACCAGGTCATTATTTCTGGCAATTAGGTAACAGAACAACATCAGAGAAATATGAGGTTTTCTTTGAAATATTTAATGAGTAAGGTTGTAATGATATACTCATGTGCTGGGAATATGTGACGAGATTTATTTTGTTTAGGGTTCACTGTGCAATGAAAAGCTGCATTTATCAAGCCTACAAGTAAAGGCCAGAGTGCAAGCTCAAACAGTGGCAGGTATCTAGCTTTTCTGGGCCATTCATCACGTTTGTCCCATGCCCAAGGGCACTAATCAGAGGATCCTTCTTTGTTCCTTTTTCAGTTTCAGTTAGTAGAGGGTTGTTTTGTGACAACAGCAAACACAAAAGCCTTGGGCAAAAGGGGGAGGATGTTTCCTTCTTTATGTTCTACAATGAACTTGCGCATGTCCTACTCGCTTATTTTCAAGCAGGCCCTGAAATAATGTCAGAATTCCCTATGTCAAGATTGGAAAGACCAGGCTGAGATATACTGGGGTTTTACACATCAGTATCGAGCCAATGCACCTTGCAAAGAGTGTGACTGCTGTAATTCTGACTATGAAAAACTCAACCTCCTTCTGAAAACTGAATGTAGATGATCTGTCTTATGAATGTGTAGTATTGTACACAAGCTGTCACTTGGAGACCTAGGTGGAGTCCTAAAAGCTAATTATGTGAAGTCCCAAAGCTAATTACACTAAGAATTTTTATGGATACAACATGCATCCCTGCCAAACCTGTTGCCATTTTATGCCATTTCTCTGAAAAGTGTGTCAGGAAACAGTTGATAGGTTACTGCTGGTTAACCTACGTGCTTGTAAAGAGAGGCAGAAAACTATTCAATCTGGGCACAAAAGTGGAAGGTGGATCCCAAAGCAGCAAGCAGCATCAACCCTAAAAAGCCTGTCAGATGTCAATGTAAATGGAAACCTTCACCCTCCCCCTTGGTGGCAAAGATAGGGCAGAAGACAGTTTAACAAGAAAAACCCTTTTTTTAGTATTGATGCTGAGCTGTTAGTTCAGCCTGATCTATACCACTAAGAACAAGGCAAGTCATAATGGAGTGCACAAAATGTGGACTTTATGTAAAAAGAAACAAAAGAAAAACTTTAAAAACATTTAATTTCTCGCATTTTGGTTGCTATTTCATGCTGTTTTTTTCTTATGCTCAAATACAAAAATTTCTGGCCAAATAAAAGTTAGTCTTACATGACCATCTGCATCAGTACATGAGAAACATCACTAAATACAGGTTCTGAGAGCAAAATGGTCACACCTGCTACAGGCAGCCTTCTCCTACATACAGGAAAGCCTTCTTTTCCCATTGCATGCAAATATTATTACCCCAGCTTGACAGAAAGTGTCCCATTAAGTTTTCATTAATTTTAAATAGCTTTTTTCTTTTTCATGGACCCTTAACAATTGGTTCATGCTAGACTGCACCATCATGACCCTTTTCAATGGTATTGAGCATCCTCTTAAATCATGGGAGCACAGAAATAAGAAGAAAGGGAAAGATGCCATGAGGATAATTTGGCAGAGACAGAACTGGAAAGCTCCAGGCACCTTCACGTTCAGAGCTCTTACAGATGCAGTACGTAGTGGATTTGCTATTATTAAGGCACATGGTGAAAATAACAGTTCATCATTCCAGGCAATTCATCCTTCCGAGTCAAACATTCTGTGCCAGTAGTAGAGGAAGGTTGGGGAATTGCTGGCCCCTATCACCATTAGCAGCAGCAGGTAGAGCATCATCATCACAGCAAAACGGTGGGTGGAAAGCCAGGAGGCTCGACTAGAGGGCCTGCAAAGGGAAAATTGCAGGAATTCTGAGACATACAAATGTCTTGACAAAGAGAACATCTTAGATTTTAAATATCATTATTTTAAAGATCATTAGTGTGCTCAATTGTTATTTTGAGTGACTGAGTACACTAATGCAGTAAGGGCAAGAAGGGCAAGCTGCTCCATGAGCAATGCAGCAAACAGCCTCTTTTTCCTGTAACTAGTATCCTAAGAACCCTAAGTCAATGTGTCCAACTCTAGTCCTTTCTCCCCATACTTGCACCTTTTTCTGTGACTGTTTTGGAGCTGTGCTGGGGCTGCAAGTGGCTACCTGTACACACAGGCTGATGAACTGTGTGAATGTTGCCCCCTTGGAACAAGGGAGGGCAGAGTTAAAACTGCTTCTTTAAGGGATACTCATTTGGATTTCTCTTGTTTCCTCCTACGGACAGGCTACTAGAGGTCTCAGAAATTCTCTGTAAGTTCTTACAGATTTGGTGAAAAATCCAATTTAGCTGAAACTGCAAGTGCTAAATTACAAGTAAAGGGAAGGGTAACTGCAGAGCTGGCTATAGAGCTGTTGAGATGGTGTCAGCCTGTCTTCCACAGGAAACAGGCTAAACCCAAATTCTGCCAGGGAAGCATCTCAGCCTTATTTCCATAGGAAATAGCTTAAACTCAAATTTTGGCACCGAATCATCTTTTTCTTGCTTGTTGTCTGCTGTTTTGCATAAACAAGATGTGTTTATCTGGCTGCTATAGCATAGTTGTGACTCTGGAAAGCTGAAGTCTTACCGTCTATGCTGTTTCTGTGAATATACTAGTAAGTATTTAACTCGTAAAAGCTGGTTGTTTGTGACAACAAAGTATTTCTGTGGTACATCGCCCCCTTCGCTGTTTTTCACTCTTGCTCTTTTTCTGTCTATTTCTTCTGAATCTGCATGGAAAGAGAAGACATCCTTTTAGGAACAGAAAAGGAAAGAGATGTAAAAAAAACCTTAAAAACACACTCATCCACAATACTGGGAATGAAACAACCAGAGATCCAGTCTTGGCATTTCCCAGACACCCTTAGCATCCAAGAATAGACCAAAAAGTTTGCTTAAGGCTATACCACTCCTAGTTATCTGTGGTATGGATGGAATTATGCTTTGGGCCAGGGTAAAAAGGGGATGGATCTCTGAGTGCCTGAACAGCTGCTGGTATTAACAGTGAAAGAGAAACAACCTTGAAGGATTGAGCCTTCCCAGCAGGAAGCAGCCCAAGCAGATGGACAATCAGAGTGGAGGTTTCCTATCTTATAAAATTCATTTTTATGTGTTTGTGAGCCTCCTAGATGGCAATCACAAATGACATGACTAGGCAATGCAGAGCATGTGTCATCACACTACTGAAACTAGTAAAAACAAATGATGTGACCAAAATAATTTCCAAACTTTGAAATATCTCTCTTAATTCTTAAGTTCTACTGTCAAGAAGGTTGTACCTTTGTGAGGGGTCACTCACAAAAGATGCCCCCAGCCAGTTTCTACTGAAGGGCATAAATTCCATATGCGAGCTGTTTGTACGATAGCATATATGCATGAGGATGGAACTTGAGAAGCACTAACAAAAGCTGAATTATGCAGTGATTTTTCTTCTTGCAATGGACTCACCTTTCTTTTTCACCTGACACTTTACATCTGGGTGGTCAATGATCTCACAAACAGCTACACAGCTAAGGACAGAGCCCAAAACGCTCTGGTGCCAGCCGAGCCCGTGAGGGCTGTAGAGCAGAGCCAGGCTCAGATCACTGGTGAGATAGGTACCTTCACCAAACAGGGATGTCTGAAACAGAGCAGAAATATATGCTAAACCTATGTAGTGTATGCTATAGGCAGTGTTCAGGTGTTCTTTATTTTCAGGCTGGCTGTTCTGTTTCTGAAAGTAAACCAAGAAAGGCTTTTCTTATAGTCCTTGTTGGGTTGGATGCACCCACTGCTTTTTTTTTTTTTTCCTGAGATAACTTCCTTGGGATGAGCTTTGGGAAGGGCTGCATTGTCCCAGCCCTCAAATTAACACCTGTTTGCATTGCCTCTTGGTGTGCAAGGACTCACACTTTCCTGTACTTGGACTAGGTTTGTCAGTTAAGTATTTTGTATCAATATGAAGGAAAAACTGCTGGGGCACCTCATGGATTTACCAAATTGAACTTCCACGCGTGGACAAAGCTTTGCTCCCATTTCAAACCCTGCCTTACAAGAGGGAAGTCCTTTTTAAGGGTGAATGCCTTTCAAATATAATTGCTTTAATAACTTTGAGTCAGAAGTTTTGCCACACTATCTAAAATTGTTAACCCAATAAACCTATTGTAGATGATGTGCCATTACTCATAAAGAATGTGAGGAGAAAGAGTTCCTAATCTGCTACTGCCAGCTGTGCCCTTCTGAGAAAAAGGGTTCTTCTCCACACTCTGTTGATATGTGTGTGTCAGGTGGTGAGGGGAAAATCATAATCTTTATGACAATGAGTTAGGAAGTCTGATAATGGTAAAGAAATTTAGGTTATAGAAAACAGTGTTACTGTTCTAAGCATAGTCCAGCTGAGCGGAAGGATGTCAGAGAGGATTTATAGGTGACACACTGACCTAGAAGTAAATGCCAAATCTTTGTTGAGTCAAAATTGTTGCTAATCCTTTCTCCCCCTACAAAACATTTCCCTTAGCCCAGCCATTTAAAGAGAGTTGTTTACAAGTAGCATGCAAAATGTAGATCATCTAAGCTGGAAAGCCTGGCAGAAAAAGAATCTCTCTGTTGCCTGTAGAGACTCTACACCACCTTCCTCCAGGCACAGGGGCTTTCCAGCAGAAGACTGTCAAACTAGCCAACATTTTCAGAGGTATTACATTTCCTTACAAAGGAGGAAAGGATAGCCATAATTAGTCACACTGCAGAACAGGGCAGGGGTTCATGCTGCTTCTAGTTTTCATCTCGGCCTGCGTTAGAAAATCCAACGCCCCCACGCACAAAGGTCTATGCTGCAGTGGAAACAACAGTATAAGATCACAAGCAAATTTTGTATTTCTGAATGAATTTGTGCCTGCTTTTATCAGTGTCACTCGCTTCAAGCGAGCAACAAGAAACCCCCAAAGCCTCACCTTGTTCAAGTGGCACTGCAGGCCGTTGTGCAGGATGGAGTGGAAGTTCTCGAGGCGGCTCCCGTGGAACGCGTAGATGAGGTCCCGCTCCCCCCTGGCCTCGGCAAACTTGGCATTCATTTGGTCGCAATACACGATCTCAAACAGGAAATCTGGAGCAGGAACAGCAGCTCCAGACATCCCAGTGAGTTCTTGGATCTTCTTGTACTTACAAACAGGAAGGAATATGTGTGTTGGTTTAGGGAGCTGGGTTACTTGCTGGAAACTCTCCTTGCTGTCCCTTAGTCTTCCAAATTGTTTTGCATTTTGTGTTAAGGCCCTCTGCTTTACAATTCAACACTCCCAACAGTTCAGAAAGAATTAGTGTGCTGCAAGGACTCTGAGAGTGTTTTAATATCTTCTATTATAGCAAATTGCTGTTTTGTCAAAGCTAAATCAAGGTTCCTCTCACAGGAAAAATAAAGGTTAGAGCATGACTAGAAATTAACTGGTGATGTAAGGAAGGGTACCTTAGTATGCCAGATTGGCTACTAAAATGATACATCATCAGTTGATTTTGGAAGAGGTGGAAAAATATGAAAACAGAAGGTGTTTGCATCTTGCTACTTAACTCCGTAACAGTTTTGGTCCCTTTTACAGAAGTACATGAGTGGCTCAACCTGTGCTCTCCATTTGTGTAGGTCAGTGTGCATTTGTAATCAAGTGTAAAACACATGGGTCCAAAGTTGTTCAGGAGAGCTATTAAAAGCAGAGTAATGAATATTGGTCTTCCTAGTAGCAGGCTGGCAGCTCAAGAACAATTTTAGCTCCAAGATACCTGGCGTTGTACTCCTTATTAACACTCCTTATGTGTTAATGAGAGTAACCAATTACAGCTATGGACAATTGTCAGCTACTGACAGTGATAAGTATTTCTTCTGAACAGCTTTCTGAGAGGAAAGAAAAATATATATATATATATATTTAAAAAAAAAAAAAAACTCCATGCACAGGAAAATCATGCATTCACATTGAACTTCAAGCTCTCAGAGTAACCAGTGAACTTCAGACATTCTCTGAAATGCAACTTTGCCTTAAAAGGCAAATTCTAATCACGACTTTCAGCATGGAAAACTTACCTCCTGCTTCTTAGTACTCTGTATCATCAAGATCTTAGATGATAAAATCCAGCTAAACAAATCCCAGGCCCTTTTCTCTGTGTTTGGGGCAGATTCTAGCAGTTCTTTTAGGCTTGGTAAGGCATTTGTATCTGCAAGCTAATGAGAAAGGCATTTAGTACAATTTCCTTCTTTCCATGGTGATTAAACAGAGACCTCTAGCGAAAGCAAATCAATATTTCACCCTAACAGGGTGTAAACCAGAAAGCGGTTTTTGTCCTGAGATATAAACATTGCAATGACTTTTGGGGAAAGTCTGTCACATGTTTTTGCATACTGGAGAAGTTATAAAATGTTTATGATGAGTGCCTGGAAGGTATGCGGAAGAATGGTCTGGTAAAGTCCTGAAAGCCAGAAAGCTGTGTGTTATCTTAAGTGGTTTAACCACCATGGGCAAGCAGGCCATTAAAATACATACCCTTCACTTAATTAAATTAATGCAGTTTTTGTTTTAACTGTTATGCACAGGGCAAGCACCCTCTGGTATCTTTTTCCCTTTCAATACTGGCTTTGGAAGGTCCCAAGAAGCAGTTTACTGGCTAGAATACCAAATTTGCTTTAAAAACTAGATTCCTTAAATGGATATGCAACTTATGGGGCTTGAGGTGTAGCACTGACAGGGCCTCTCCCAGGAAGGGAACGTGAAATACCACCCGTTTTCTCCATGTGAATAGTTCAGACAAAATATGCCTGGAAATTGCCCATTTACCCAGTGCCAGAGTGTTTTTCCTGGCTCCAAGGGCAAAACAGCCCTGCTTTGGCTATAAACCCCCCAAAAGTGTGTTAAGCTGCTCTGCAGCACAGATTATTGTAAGAATAACAATAATACTATATCCTTGTTGCAAGGCCTCGCTGCCGGCCGTGCTCTGGAAGAACAAATGAGCCTTTTTCCTCGGGTTTTCACGTGCGGGGCAGGGAGGCCGCCGGGGCCGCCTGTGCCCGGGTGCCCC